GCCCTCGGAGCATCTCCGTGGCCTCCTCTGGACTCACTCCAACCAGTCAATATCCTTCTGATGTTGGGGGCCCCAGAGCTGGAGGCAGAACTGCAGGGGGGGTGTCACAAGAGCAGAGCAGAGTGGGAGAATCCCCTCCCTCGCCCTGCTGCCCACGCTGCTCTGGATCCAGCCCAGGATACAGTTGGCTCTCTGGGCTGCCAGCACACATGGCCGGCTCATGGCCAGGTTTTTTCCTTTTTTTAACCTTTTTAAAAATTTTTTTAAGTTTAACTTTCATGTCCCTTTTCGGTTCTTGCAGAATTCCTACTGCAGGGTGTACCCAAGGCATGTAATGCTTTTAATACTTTCAGTGTTTCTTTGCTTCCCCACTGAGGCTGAAACACTGCTCTGCTGCCATGTGGAGCTCTTCAGAAGGGCAAAATGCACGCAGGCAGCAGTACTCAGAACTCACTGAAATCAAGGGTTTTTTTAAACAAGCCAACATGAAATGTGAGCAACACATTCAAGCACACAACTCTGTGTGCTTTCTGATGCATTATTGCTCAGACACAAGCTACTCCAGTCTGATCTTGTTCTTTCGCTCTTTGCCTGATCTTTTCTCCATTCCCTGAAGTCCTAGAGCCCTTTTAGGGGCAAAGACATACAATTGCAACAGGATCCTACTGCAGAGGTTGTGGGGATGCACACCAAGTTTCTCTTTCAAGGAAACCCCACCTATTATTTGTTAACTGCTGGAGTCAGATGTGTACTGTGTTTACAGTCATTTCCCTAGCATGCTTACCAGCCACAAAGGCAAAAATTTAGCAGCAGAAAAAAGGATAAAAGCGAGAGATTACCTTTTCCTCTTTCCAAAAAAAGAGGGAGTTTTTCTTGCAACAAGGGAAGGAGACAACACATTCCATTTCCAAGTGCCTCCTGCCTTTATGCCAAAGGCATTAATGCAACACACCAATGCAAGAGACTTGACCAGCTGTCAAGATTTTCAACTGTGTGTGACTATAAACCCCTAAAAAAACTGTGGGAACTGGAAGAAGGTGCTGCTACAAACCTAATTTAAGCAGAACAGCTTAAATAGCACTTCTCTTCATCTTGTCTTATCCAAGCCCTGGGCCAATTCAAATGCTCTACAGAACTGCAGTTTGCAGCACAGTGCTCTGGTTTTCTTAGCAGAGCTTAGAGACTCTCTGCATCCTCAAGGATGCTACTGGAAAATATAAAGGCCCTTGCAATTGCTGTCCACTCGGTACCTCACAAGATGGTTTGTTTGCATGAGGGGGTGAACTAACATAGAAATTTCACCACAGTTCTCTACAAAGTTTCAGATGGATTTGGTTTTTTGTCTGCCTTCCAGCTTTTGGCCTCATGTGTGCTCCTGTGTGCTGTTAAACACTTGGTGTTCAGCAGAAACGAGATGTAATCCCAGCATCCAGATGACTTCAACTATTTAAGATAGCTATCATCTGGGGATAATATTTCACTTTTTAAACACCACCTTTACAAAACTGCTGCATTCAGAAGGACAGAGCTGGTGACAGCTGAATTGATATTGACATATTTCATGACCTCTAGGAGCATAAGATCATTTATTCATGAAGTTGTTCTAAATGAAGAAAGTATTCCAACTCACAGAGGTCGTAAGAGGATTCTGTACCGAATACCACGTCTCCCAGACCACTGCAAAATCGGTGAGAAGCTGTCAGAAAACCTACCTCAGGTCTAATGCACAAGACGACTAAGTTCATGAACGCAGATCTTCGTGTGACTCAGCCCCTAGCCTAACTGATCCACCACCTTTGGCAGAAGCCAGAACTAAAGTCAAAAAAAACAGGTTACAGCTACAAAAAGTAAATTATGAAACTAGCTACGGAAGGTCACAAACGAACACCAAGCCATGCTGTTAAGACTTACTCCTCTCGTACTGAACTTCCCGCCCCACCACACCACCACACTTTCAAATACCTTTAGGTCACCAGCCTCAGGTTTTTCAGTCTCTGAATCGTCATCTTCCTACAAGACAAGAATTTACAGGATTAAGCTTAAAAGAGCAGGCTTGGCAAGTAACTGCACTTACAGCAAAGGGCTCGCTCTCAGCAGCCCAGCAGCAGTCCAAGACCCCTTCCACAGAAGGCAGTTTTGCCCCACCCACTCATGACCAGAAAACAAGTCCTACAGCCAGGGAAAGAAGTGTTTGGTTTTCGGGTTATGTTTTTTAGGCAAAAGCATCGCTCAGTAGGAGATGTCCCCCACAAAACTCATGCAGCTCCTGAATGCTCAGAACTCGACAATAAGAAGAAGCAACAAAACTGGGGAAAAAAAGCATTTGGCACTTGATAATTCTGTCTCTTTCAGTTGGCAGGTGGGCTTTTTGTCCTCTCCCTTGTTCAGCAGTGCTCACGGAAAAAGCAGCTTTTGCAAGACCTCTTTTACTCCCAAGCACACATCAGCAACACACAGAGGACACAGGCCATCCATCAAACATGCAAGCTTGGTGAGGGGCTGGCCTAGCACCAAGCTCCCAGGATCTGGTGATGCCAGCAGACACCAAATCCTCCTCATTTGTGTAGTACCCTCACAGCCTCGTTTGCAGATGACAGGAACCACTGATAAGTTTCACTGTTCCAGGCAACAGACTCCATTCAGTTTTTATTTCTGGTCAGAAATAAGCCAAAGAACTGGGCAAGTTTCTGCCCTGTCAGTGCTGAAAATACTGAAGTCAGCCCCGTGTAAAATTCTATGCCACATGAGAAGCAAGCTCCAGCTTTGGTCCCAACTGATAGGTAAGCTTACTCGTCCACTGCCTTATGAGCTACATCCCTGGGATCCTAGTTACCCACCTTTCTAGGCGTAATTACATACTCAGGGTTCAAAACCAGTTTGAGGAGCAGAAAACGTTTTTCATGCTCGTACCACTCAGCATAATGGCTTTTCCTCCAAACTTTGCCACAAATTTCAACTCTGTCCCCAAAACAGGAACTTGGTGTTTCAGCTTCAAAGGGAAAAACAACCAAGGGAGATGCTGTACACCCTTCCTTTCAGTTGCACGCAGTCAGAAATCCCACCTCAGAGTATCAGCACGGAAGCAAGTTCTACCAAGACGAGCTAGAGAATAATGCCAGTAAGTTTTAATTGCCTGAATTAACATGCCTATGCCACAGAAGTGAGACAAACTCCTTTACTTCAGCTGCTCCTCAGCTTACCTTTCTGAAAGCTGCACGTATGCCAATAATTCAGTCTTAACTGCCAAAGTTTAACAACAGTAAGTTTGTAACTAGAGAAGAATCACAGTGCCAAGTGACTTGGTGTTTATCACAAATGAGGTTCCTCTCCCCTCCACAGTCCCACCTATATTATAAAGATAAAAGTCATTTTCAACAAAGCAACGTGTTGAATCATTCACGTTACAGACAGGTAACAAACAGCTACCAAAATCTCCTAACCTGACGGGGGATATCACTGAAACCACAAACAAAGCAGCATTGCTGAGAACTGCTTTTGAGTAAAACAGAGGCTTTTCAGTCACTGTTAAGGTCGATAACGTAAGCACAGAGCTGTTTAGATAAAGGCCCAGAACAACCGGCATCCAGCTTGCACTGCTTTCCGAGAACAGCTCAGAACCAACGTAAGCTGCTAGAACAAGCAGTGTCGAGGAAGCTTGCAATTCCAGTCAAAGATTACTTAATGCAAAAAAACCCCAAGCATTGCTCTCCTGCAACAAGACTGAAGGGGAGGCTCCCCGCGTAACCTGCGCACATCTGTGCGGTAACCCCAAGATCTCCGGCTGGCACCAGCGTGACGCAATCGACTGCCGTTCCTTGAACGGCAACTTGTACCTCCCAGGCGAGGGAGGGCTGCAACCTGCACTGGAAACCGTGCATGCAATGAAGGCCGCTCTACTTCCACAGCCCTCTGCCAATGCCAAAACACAGCTGATCTTGACAAGCACCTGGATCACACCCAGAACTTTCTCTAATTAAAGAGATCTCACTGAAGGAGGATCTACAAGTTTTGGACACAGGAAGAAGCTTCTTCACTACTTTGCTAAGCCAGATGCCAGGGGCAGACCCTGAACACCCTGCACCTTCTCAGGTTAGCAACAGAAGAAAACCAAAAGCGAGAACAAGACTGACATATCTCGTCTGCTCCTCGGGAGCACAGATGGCAGAGGCAGCGAGCATCTCATAACAGACTGAGCTAATGCACACAGGGTAGATTTCAACGAGGGGAGGTTATAATAAGACAGAGCTGCAGTTTTTTGGCTACAAAAGGGAAGAACTAGAACAGGGACAAGATAACACAAGATAAGCAAAAGGTTGATGAGGAAGAAAGGAGACGAGAACCCACAACTTGTTTTGCTCCTACAGGCACACGACAGAACTGTATTTCCTTCTGGGCGTTATAACTGCATTTACAGGTGGTGAGCTACACGCCCTGTCGCATAACGCATCGGTTATCCTGGTATTTAGGTGATGGTACACACATGCCACGCACCTGTGAGAAACAAACACCACCCACATCTAGACAGGACACTTACATCAAGGTAACCTGATGTAGTGGATGGGTTGAGTCGTACACAAAAAAATAATTTAAGACATTACAGAATTTTACCCTTTTTAATCCTCCAACTGACCATGCAACAGTGGGTTCCTCTTACACGGTTCTCAAATACGTCAACTACACCTTTCACTGAGTGTGGCTAGTGGCTTGTACCAGCCTTTTTCTCCCCTTAAAAGAGCCAAACGGCATTAACACAGTAACAAACAACACGAGCTGCGCCAAGCTGCTGACAGGTTTCAAGGCAAATGCTTTCTGCTTGAAAACAACGTGAACAGAAGTATTTGGGAAGTGCTCAAACCCACACCAGGAGTCAGATATTCCGGGTTCCATCACGTCCTGCCACTCAGAGGGTTTCTTTGGAGAAAGAAAAGCCTCTGCAAGGTGTGAAAGGGATCAGGGCGAGCTTTTGGAGCAGAGAAATACTTACTGACTGCCTGCTGTTCTCATCATCCTCTTCTTCGTACCCATCCTCATCCCCATCCAAGCGGGTGAAGTCGTCGTCTCCATACCCAACCGAGACCAGACCTCCTTTCTCTCCTAAGGAGGAACGGGAGAAGAAAACCATGAGGAAAGCGGAGACGGCAACGAGCGGGGCCTTCGATTCTGTGAGGGGAAGGCGGCGGGCC